ATCATCCACCTAGTTTGCACTGTTCCTCCGAGATTTCTTAGTTATAATATGAATGGGGCTTTTATTATTTGCTCTTAAAATGAGCGTGCTTCCAGTTTCGTTGATAAATTTCTTACTTTTTACTCTTTATTGCGTACTTTGATTAGTGTTCCTAGCTTTCCTTTTTTCTGTAATGTGGGTTTCAGTGTATGGTCTTGAAATGAGCCTGTTGCAGGTTTTTTCTCTAAAAAGATCTTATGTTTTCTTTGTTATATCCTTCTGTTCTAGCTTTCCAGTTTCTTTTGGTGTTAGGCTAGCAACAGTGAGTTTACATGGTTGATAGGTTAGTTTGTATAGAATATAGATTTGGTTGTCCATTTGTTGATGTCTCTAGCTTCTGAGTTACTTCTGAGTTCTGAGTTATCTAGTTATCCTAAGGTCCAGTACGTCAGTTTCTCGAAATACCAAGAAAAGAAAATCATGAATTTCTCCAATTAGTTTGCTGAAGAGTGAATATATTGCCAAAGCCTTATAGAAACAATGCTTCTGCCCATCAATTTCAAAAAGGACCCCAAAAAGAAGGAAAAGGAAAAGGAAGAGAAAGAAGCACTTTTAAATCTGGAGCAGTATTAGTTTGGTGAAAACTACATTACCAAGAGACTGCTAGATTTTGGTGAGTGAGGTTTTATTGCCATACTAAGAACTTTATATTGGATTTTGGTGGGTGAGGTTATTGTCCCATAATGAGTACTTTGCCCTATGGGTATGGAAAGCTAAAAACTGTTCTGCAGCAGAAAACCGACTCAAACTGACTTAAAAAACTGACATGTTCTTTACGTTGATACGGTTTGGAGTTTGGACTTTGATGTTAACATTAGAAGAATCTATCCCCTCCTCATGAATATAGCCTATTAAATTTTAGGTCTCTACTAGAGTTTAACCTTTTAAAGGTAACTTCGGTAAGAGGCCTCATACTCTTAAGGTAAGCTAAATTCAGAATGTCTAATATGTTCTTGATAATAATTTGCTTCTCACTAGTCATGTAACGCTAACATTTTGTGTTTCTTCTTCTTTTAACAAGTTTATTCAGTTTTAAAATCTTGCTCTATCTCCAATACTGCCTAGAATCTTCAAATAGATGCAAGAGAGCACATTCTTCGCAGACAAGTTAACCAAAGTCAAAAAAGTACTTAGCACTGATAAAAAGGCAATAATGAAAAACAAAAACAGAATAAACGAAACCGTTTGTCAATATTTTTGTTTCATTTGGTTTATGCAGTTAACAAGCCGACTTAGTGCATGTTTGATTTTTTTGAACCATGAATACCCCTACTTTGACCTTTCATTTCTAGATGGCTTACCAGGGAAGATATTGCCTTATTGCTGATTCTCTTCTTTCCCCTTTTGCTGTTGGAAAAAGGGGCATGGGAATTAGCATCAACCTTAAAAAGTTTAAAAGCTAATTAGCTTTCTACACCTTGCATATTGCTGCATAATTTGCATGAGATTGTTTTAATATCTCTATTGATAATATGATTCATGTGTACTGCTCTCTTATGATACTTGATGTTCTTACTTTCGATGCAAAATCTGCAGGAAAACACATCAGATGAGATTGTGTTCAAGGCCATGGGCAGGGCAATCAACAAGACTGTGACAATTGTGGAATTGATTAAGGTAGACAATGCTTACTTTTTCCTTTGTAGTTCATTTGATCGTTGCATATTAGATCTCTAATAGACTTTTGGATTCGATCGCATGGTTCCAATGCAGAGGAGAATTGTTGGTCTTCACCAAATTACTTCAATTACATCCACAGACATTACTGATACATGGGAACCCCTTGAGGAAGGCCTCCTGCCGTAAGAGGATCTTACTGAAACTATGCCTTGGAGCTTTTGTCTTATTCTCTACTGCCTTAACCATTCCCTCATTTAACTTAATTATATCCGTACATGTTTTTTTTTGTGCTGCAGTCTTGAAACAACCAGGCATGTCTCAATGATTACAATTACTCTTTCTAAAAAGGAGCTGGATAAGAATAACATCGGGTGAGCTTCTTAATTTTTCAATTATTCCCGGACTTTGCATCTTCGACTTCTATTCCATTTTCCTGGAAAAGAAGCAGTATTTCTGAAGAACTTAAGCACGTTCATATAGAAATTATCTGCCTACTTTCTAGTTATCTTCAGTTTTACCTACTATGTCAAATTTTCCGTTCTGAATATGCCAGTTCTTGAATATTTCCTGAGCCATAAATATTTCTTTCTTTATTTGGATTGCTGCTTATTGTATAAGCATAAAGACGTGTTGTCAAACTTTTTGTACTTAGACCAATTGCTAATTGGCTTACAAAATCTGTGTGTCATGCTATGCTCTGTGCTGGCAGGTACCAACCTCCAATTCCAGCTGACCAGGTGAAGGTGTCTACAGACATTGACTATGAAGGAGGTTTGTTATATTGTGCAAATGAATAAGAATTTGGTTACACGTGAAACAAAATGGAATTTATTTGGTAATATATGATCTTTAGATGGATCACCTAATGGTCGAGGAAGAGGTCGTGGTGGTAGAGGAAGAGGAAGGTCTAGAGGTTATTCAGGTACGTCGTTGAGCTTTATTGTTGTAAAAACTCTGCTGATATGTAAATTTACACTCACATGTCAGGGCAACTTCTCTGCGAACACAACATGTTTGATTCTATTGGGGCATTGGTTGTTCACTGGTTGTGCAAGTCTTTCTTTTGGGATATATGGAATTGAGTGTATGCATATTTTTTAATCAGTAACGTGTATATACTCTTTGTATGTGCAACTTATCAGTTGAGGCTGAAATTAACATGTCTTAATGCACATGCTTCTTTTTTGTAAAACTATATAGTGAGGAATTAGGTCATATATGGCTTGTGATAAAAGGATTCATCTATAAGGGAATAAATCAATTATGCAAAGGTTTCCGCAGAAGAATGAGGAACCAAGTCACTAACTGCATGCCATTAGTGCAATTTTTAAGGTGAAATTAAATTAGTTTACTTGATTTCTTTTTTGATAATGTATGGTAAGTATTTTAGAAAGTGGCACCAAGTAGGTGCAGCAGCTATTTGGTTTGGTGGGTGATCTGGAAGCAGAGAAAGCAAAGGATTTTTGAAGGAAGAAAGGAATGCTTGTAGAAGATCAAATACAATCTGTTTGTAGCAGATTGTATCTTTACGTTAGTACTGGTGTAAGATGTCAAATGTATATGATGTTGATACTTTGACAGAATTCCTCAATTCCTTACTTTTTTCCTTTTTGATAAGTTTACTTATCAAAAAAGGACAAAGGAAAAAAATGAGGAACCAAGTCACCCATCAAAAAAAGAAAAAGAAAAAGAAAAAGAATGATGAACCAAGTCAACTAAGAATTATGTTAGAGAGGGGGTTTGGGAGGAAAGGGAGTGCTAGAAGTATTTTAATTTTGCAAAGTGTCTTGAACTAGCCTTTCAATTTTCTTGAAGTTGTTCTCTAATTTTTTTTTTTTTTTATGAAATGATGTGGTAAGTACTAAATAAATGCTCTGCCAAATTCTCAAGTCATAAGGTTGGAGCATTATATGCAAAGAAATAATTTTAGTTCATAAATGGCTTGTAGGGGAGAAACCATGTTGTGTCAATTGTAATACTTCCTCCGTTTCAATTTATGCGAACCTATTTCCTTTTTAGTAATGACCCATTTCCATATTTGAAAATCATTTACCTTTATGCAATTGATTTATAGTCACGCAATATATATACACACACACATATATATGCCTCATTTTACACCACAAGTTTGAAAGTCTTTTCTTTTTTTTCTTGAACTCCGTGCCCAATCAAATAGCTTCACATAAATTTGAAACAAAGAGAGTAGCTTTTTTCATAGTTCAGAAATGTCTACAAATCCTTGAGCCGGGTTCTGTTGGAAACCACCTCTCTACGTTCAAGGTAAGAGTAAGGAAGGTACACACTACCCTTCCCAAACCCCACTTATGGGATTATACTGGGTTTGTTGTTTCTGTTGAAATGTCTACAAAACCATGATATTGATTCAAAATGTGATGCATTTTTTTTATGCTATCCTAATACTTGCTTTCACCATGATGTCTACAAAACCATGATATTGATTCAAAATGTGATGCATTTTTTTATGCTATCCTAATAATTGCTTTCACCAAAATCCTGACCGCCCCACCAAGTGGGTGATGATTGATGTGGAGTTCTCTGTCCCCACTCTATGTTCAAATATATTTACATACATGTGAACTGAGGATGGTTATTCATGACATTCTGGCTGCATCTTATTCAGGGAATGGCTTTATGCCTGCGGAGTATGATGATGGAGGGTATGATCGGAATCGGAGCTACGGCAGG